CTGATTGGTTATATTACAGACTATGTTGGAAGGTTAAAAGATTGAGAAAAGATCCCGTTTCACCTTCCAAATAAGCCAAACATGTTCACATTTGTGGTGGGTGTTGGTTGTGTTTGAATTTCAGCTGAGGTCACAGCTGTACAATTAAAACTAGAGACTTCTGCATTAGGGTGTTGAGGAGGTTATATGTGGTAGTAGAAAGGCATTAATTACTCTCACAGTGTATACCCTAATCACTGACATTTACTTGGGGTAGAGAGGTTACTGTAATCGATTTTGGACAACAAAATATTATTGATACTTCATGTCAGTGAAAAGCAGATAATTATATGAAACATATTTTTTAACATTTTTGTAACATTTGCATGTGGTAGCCTCCAGAGGCTAAATGAACAAAGATCACTGAATCAGAAACATAGCATATGTTGGTCAGATAGTGGTGATGTCTATAGTACGGTCTCCCCAGGGAGTCTTGCCACCATCCATTCCACTGGCTTAACTTATCTCTGCTTCTAAACCTGATAGGAGGTTTGGGCTTGCTTGTCAAAATCATGCAATCAGTCACTGATCAGTGTTAATGACATAATTGTAGACCTGGGTCTTTGACTTATACAGTAACTTCAACATGTAACCATTCTGACTTCCAAAGGAGTGTTTGTGTGGTGTGGGTATGAGGATCAGTCATCTGTGGTCTGATAAGCTTGGCCTTGGCTGCAGGGGACTGCATGGCTGTATGTGAAGGAGTCAGTTGTCCCTGAGAATTCACAGGTGTTAGGTCCTTAGAAAGTGTGTGTTGTGTTATGAGGAACTTAAATGGCGATGGCCTTCTTCTAAATTCTTCTCTGAAAACATGTGGTTGTCACAGACACAATGGCTTGTTGGGTGCTGATCTCAACAAGGTCCTGCTCCTCTTAAGGCAGTAAAAGGGTTTTGTGTAATGCGAAGCAGTCCCTTCTCACCTAAAACAGATCTTTGTTGTGTTCCTGGGAATCTGTGAAGGTGTCTGCAGGCTGAGGGGGAAGGTGAAATAGTTTGAAGTCTCAGAGTCTACTGGATTTGTTACAACATTTACTAAAAGTAGTGCAACACATCTGTGACTGTCCCACCCTCTCTTCCCTAATTAGTCCAATGTGCTGATGGAGCTACGGAAGTGGAAGCTGGCCTTCATGGAGCAGCACAAGCTGGAGATGAGGAAAGAGAGCGAGAGGTATGCAGCCCAGACAGCTGGCCTGAAGTCAGAGCTAGACAGCCTGAAGGGACTGCTACACACCTATGAAATTTCCAACCAGAGAAAAGATGAGGTGACTGCATGTGCATTTATTTGCTTAATTCCAGTGCGTGGTGTGCTGGTTGGTTGAACACATATTAAGTAACAAGCTGAAATTTAGTTTCCATTGTTTTGAAATTTTGGTTTAGGGCTGTGTGGGCTTAATTCATGTCCAAGCTATCAACCCCATATCACCATGATTCTCTTTTAGACTGACAGGCTTGTTGTGTTGTTGATCTTACATCAGGTAATTGCAAACCTGAGCCAGGTGTTGGAGAGACAAAAAGAAAAGCTTGAAAAGATGAGGGCCTTCACCCACTGGAGACTTCAGCACACGGAGGCCAAAGAAGAGGTATACAGCTGATGTGGTTTTTGTCTCTGGTTCAGAATGGATTTGCAGTTGGATGGAATGCTTAATAGGCTTTTGTACAGGATGTAAAAACCTCCCCTGTTGCCAAACTAAATTTCATAGAATTCGTGATGGAAGTAGCATATTTACATGATCTCTCACAGAACATTCATGCTTGCTTATTGTTTGGCATACAGGGGAAAAAACTATCATTATTTTTACTTAACTTGATTTCAAAAGTATAAACAGGATCAAATTTGAATAGCAATAATCTGTTCAAGTAAGATACGCTGTATGGGAAATACTGTATGCACTGGATAACATTACAGTATTGTAGTAGTGTGTGTGTGTGTTGAACCAGAACATAATAAGAACATTACATGTAATATCTCAACATCATGAATCAAAGTAATTTAGTAGTACAATTTCAGTTTTTCTATTTTTTAAATTTTCTTGCAGTGTTTCAGATACATTGATTTACGTGGATGGTGGTTTAAAATAGGCTAAATCATATTTCATTGTTGTGCTGTGCATAGCACATGTGTTTGATTCATTTGGAATATTCATTGGTTTCAACCAGTGCTGCTGAAGCAGCAAAAGAGGGTCAGGAAGAGAGAGCTGAAGAGTGATGTAGGAGGAAGGCAGCAGCCAACATGCTACTGCTGTGAGAGAGCTAGTGCAGAAGGGACAGATCAGATGAACAGTGCAATAGCACTATAGCATTGCTATATTTAATTTTAAAAAAATTATGAAAGTGTGACACCCCCCCCCCAAAGCTATCTCCACAATAAGAATTTAATCCTGTGTTTTTTGAGAAATTGATAAAAGATGACTGTAGTGAATGGTTTGTAATGTTGCTTGATTACTGTCAATACAGTTTAATGGTTTATGCAAATGATCAGTCTCTGCATGAGTTACCAACCCATCAACCCATACATCACTATGTCACTACACAGTGAACATGCATATGCCACGTTTTTACACAAATGTCTTCTCTTACAGAAATGATAGACTTGAAAACTGCTGAACAGTCTGTTGTTTCTAATACCATACTGTATACAAACAAAGCTTGTAAAATATTGATGACACATTTGGGTTCTTTTAACCAAATTTGTTAAAATGGCAATTTAAATCGAGTCATGTTCTTTCTAAACCATGACACAAAATGCACCACAGGAAAACTGTAGTGCATCTGCATAAAACTGAATTGTGGGCATAATTATTTTCTTGTGAATATTTCCATGGTGTTGTTTCCCTGCCAGGCTCATGCTGCTCAGGTAGCACAGCAGCACTACAATCTGCAGCTGAAGAAGAAGGTGTGGTTAGGTTGGCACTCTCTGGTTCAGAAACACTGGAAAGTCAAGGTGGAGCAGGCTTGCCGTGCGAGGGCTGAAGAGGTCTGCGCTTGCCTGTCTACAGAGTATGAGGCTAAGCTGGCAGAGGTAAATAAATGGGTGAAGGACCTGCATATGAAACAGTATGTGTATGGTGATGCTGCACTGCTAATTTCATACTTGACTCTGCCTCGCTGTGGTATTTTACCACAGGACTCTCAGCACTCTGTAGTCATTAAAATACATTGCCAAGTCAAGCCAGATTTTATTTATATAGCCAAATATCGCAAACTGTTACCGTGATTTATTAGTTTCTCACATAAGTAAATACATTTTCCAAATGTTTCTTCAGTAAATTGTTAGACAGCTTATAACTTCAGTAAATTATTGGACAGCTATACAATATTAGTTCTTGTTATTTTATTTCAAATTGAATGTGCTGAAGTATAAAGCTTGAAAAACAAAAAATATGTAACTGTCTGAATACTTACAGTCTGCAGATAGAGGTGTTACAGGAATTGGAAATGAATAATGGTTAATTAGCAATAACAGTGTTATTTATGGTATTACAGATGTATGAACCAACATCAGGTGGTGGTGTCAGTTTTATAGAAACAACTGTTTCTGTACTCTGTTTCCACAGCACTGTGAGGCTATAGAAAAGGCCCATGCAGAGATCCAGAGACTCCGATTAGAGCGAGAGCGCTATGAGGAATCTATGAAGAAAGCCTTCATGAGGGGTGTATGTGCACTCAACATGGAGGCTCTCAGCATGTTCCACACTACAGAGGAACGACCAGAACAACCTCCAGTTCATGATCAGCAGCATGGTCTGTAACAGAATAACAGCACAAACCTATTTTTAGATAATATCCATCTTTTTAAACAACTAGCATGTTAAAACTTGCACTGCTACTGTCATGGGTAAAATCAATGCACAGAGAAAATTACTGGAGTGCCAAGAATCATTTATTGAACAATAGGGCGAGATACAGGATCACCTTGTTAGTTTTTAGTCTTAGTCTCGCTGCAGAGGAAGTCAGGTCGTCTGCCACACGTCTTCTCTTCTCCCTGGGTTTTCATGCACACACGCGCCTGACCAATTCTGTTGCTAACTTTATTCCCATCTCTCGCTTCCTGTCGTCGTTCCCCCAATTGCGTCAACCCCTAGACTCGCTTTTCTTTTTCGGAAACACCCTGCAAGATGTTCTGAACAACCAGAAGGCCTGGCCGTCCCAGCTTCCCATCAGAGTGCAGCACACGCACATTTCTATTGAATAACAGGTCAATGCCTTTGCTGCTGTTACACTAGAATAACCCATTGTTCTATCTCACATTACATGTTAAGCATTAACTTATTTGTTTGTTTTATCCGCTACACTACCCTCATCACAAACCTACTTAAACAGACCTATAGGCGTTGTTAGCCTTGTCAATTTGCCATATTGGTTCAATGACACTATCCAAACAGAAACCAACAGACAAACACTATATGTCCAATAAGAGTGCAGTCTTGTTCTGTGTAGATTTTAGGGATGGGCATTTCAAGCTAAAATGCTATTTGATATTTGCTGAAAAACTATTTTTGTAATGTAACTATCATGAATCTGGGCCCAGACAAGTGGTAGAATATCTGAGGCCAACAAGAAGTACAAAAGCTCAGCTGTGGTTTGTGGACCACTGAAATGACTAATTGCCCTAAGAACACATAGTATTATACCATTATCACCACACAGTCCCACTGACACCAGTCGGGAGATATCTATGGTGCTATGCCATTAACACCAAAGTCACACCCTGCCATCAGCATGTTGCACCAACAATTAGTGTTGTCAGTGATGATGTTTGTACAAGCTAATATCTCTGCACTACTGCCAGTGCTATTTACTGAATCTGGGTCACAGGAGGCTTTGACAGCACCTCTCCACATTAAGACGAGGTTTGGAGCAGATTTCTACAACAAAAATATTGGAAAAAGTTGCATACTGTAGCTGTAATGATCAGCCACAGTTTCATTCCGTTTAAAAACTGTATTAATATAGCTTCAAACAAGTAAGAGGTAATGAAGATATTCATATTCCAACAAAGATTAATCATTAGTTTTGAGAATCAGAAAGTGGAACCAAAAGGAAATAACCAGATGGAAAGACTTTTCCTTCACAGGATGCCAGATGTTAAGATTTCCTAATGCACTGCTTAGGAAGATCCCGACCATTCGTCCAACATTGAGCTCTACTAAGTGGTTTTCTGTAACAATAATTAACTTGTATCAAAAACATGCGATCTGACTCAGTTTACGTTGTTTTTTTTCTTTCTCCAGATCCTCTGCCTCCTCAGGATGAACCTGGCTCTGCTACACTGGCTCAACTTCAACCACATTCAATTTCTTCTGCACGGTTCAGCCCAGTCCACTTTGACCACCTGGACCCTCCCACACACAGTGAAGAGCATATGGTAAGACAGCTTCTAAGGAAAGATCACGTTCTTCTTAAATCTCTCATGGGATCAGTCAAGCCCAGTTTGCATATTTGTCTGTACCTTAATATTGTTGCAAACTCTGGCTTCACACTCATCTCATGTAGATGCCAGAGCAACACAAGTATTTGCACAGAAGTGTTGCTTTTGCACTTCCTTCAGTCTGTTTTTACTGTATATTCTGCACTGTGACTCCTCATTTTCCTCAGGTGGGCTCTGGTGCCCCCATGTCCAGGTCAGAAGTTTTCACCCACCCTACAGTGGTGCACAGCTCACTTCCACTTGGGGGCACCGCAGGTTCTCACACACAGGTTAGCATTAGACTCGTACTGTAGATCTATAGGCCCTGGTACGCTGGGTTACAAGTAATGACATTTGCTTCACAATATTTACTGTATGTATAACTATGACGGTAATTATATATTCAAAATAGTTATTAACTTAGTGACCGGCAACACAGAATGAGTCAGGTTTTATTTAAAACTAAAATACAGTCCATTTTAAAACAGTCTGTACTACAGTAATCACCTTTATACATGATGTCATTTTTTTCAGGTCAGTGGTCGTGTCATAACAGCAAGTCAACAAAAACCCTCAAAGACTGTAACCGCTCGCATTGCTGCACGACCTGATGTTGGTAAAGCTGCACGTAGCAACCTCCAGGTGATGGGTGTGGTTCCACCTATGAGTTCTGTAATAGTTGAACGCCATCATCCTGTTACACAGGTATGGTTCAGTGCGCGTCAATACCAAGTATTACTATTTGTCTGCTATTACATATCTTTATACCAGTAGTTATATATAAATAATAATAAAAATTTATCAAGAAAAGAATAAACTGTATGAATTTAAAATTTCTTCTTTCATTCTTTCAGCTCACCATCGGTCAGGCCACGGCTGCTAAATATTCTCGTTCCTCCCAACAGGGCCAGCGCTCCGCCGGAGGCAAAGGCTCATCCAGAACACACAGCAGCACGTGCCATGTACACTCCATTAAAGTAGTTGACTGACCACACACACACACATCTTACATAAAGGGTTGCTTCCCTAAACTAGATTTAAAATATAACACATCCTATGAAACATTCGTAAGAAGACTTATCTTAACAATTTCCAGCCCATTTTAGATTGATATCTTGCTGTCTATGTTTTAAGCACTTCCTGAGCAAAAGGATTTTTTTTTTCTTTTCAGGAAAGTACTGCAGGTGTTTAGAAATGCATCTGTGAATGTTTGTAATTGTTGTTATCACCTACTTGACAGTTTAGAATTGCAAAATGGATATTTATTTCTGTGAAAAATTATTTTAAATTTTGCACAGGTGAGACTGTACTGTTTAAAATCACATATTTTAAATCTTTCATTAATGATTACTGCTGAAAACCAAGGTTGGTT